TTTATGAAAATGATGAAAGTTCATTTATTATGATTTGAATATTTATGTAAAATTAATATGGTTCATTAATTATGATCAATACTTTATATTAGGGAACAATCAAAACTTCTATGAAATCATATATTAATCAAATGAAATGGACGGTTAAGATTGGGTTGTATTGGTTGCACAAATGTCAAAAATTGTATAATAACCAACCTCTCTCTATATATGTATATATATATATATATATGTTGTTGTGTGCATTCAATTCCATATATATATATATATATATATATATATGCATAATAAACTCATTATTAGAATTATCATTTGCAAAAATTTACATGTATCTTTAAACATTAGGACTTGTATTTATAAAGGAAATTGACATATATATTTATGCTAGAAATGAGTTGCCAATTGTTGGGTAAACGTTAAGACTTGTATTTTTAAACGAAATAGAGGGCCATTTTACGTTAGAAATGGGTTGCCAATTGTTGGGCAAACGTTAGGACTTGTATTTTTAAACGAAATTGAGGTTCATTTTACGTTAGAAATGGGCTGCCAATTATTGGGCAAACGTTAGGACTTGTATTTTTAAACGAAATTGAGGTCCATTTTACGTTAGAAATGAGTTGCCAATTGTTGGGCAAACGTTAGGACTTATATTTTTAAACGAAATAGAGATATATTTTACGTTAGAAATGGGTTGCCAGTTGTTGGGCAAACGTTATGACTTGTATTTTTAAACGAAATTGRGGTCCATTTTACGTTAGAAATGAGTTGCCAATTGTTGGGCAAACGTTAGGACTTTTATTTTTAAACGAAATAGAGATATATTTTACGTTAGAAATGGGTTGCCAATTGTTGGGCAAACTTAGGACTTGTATTTTTAAACGAAATAGAGATACATCTTACGTTAGAAATGGGTTGCCAATTGTTGGGCAAACGTTAGGACTTGTATTTTTAAACGAAATAGAGGTCCATTTTACATATAACAACTAATTAAACTGACACATAATTTCGTAAATTTGTAGCTATGTCGACTAATGCTGATAGATGATGGATGTATAAGCGAATAAATAGGAACGAAACTATAAATCCAGTTTTCCAAGTTGAAGTAGTTGGATTTTTGGATTTTGCTTTCTCTAATGAGCGATCTACGGCAAGATGTCCTTGTAAGAAGTGTCAACTTCAAAAGTTTAAAAGTAGAGATGAGATTCATATAGACTTAGGATTCACAACAAATTATAATCACTGGTATGCACACGGTGAATTAGAACCCGAACTTCAACAACCACAACAAACAATAGTGGACGAAGATTACAATGAGTTTGATGGTGTTGAACAAATGGTCATGGATCAAAATGTTCCCGGTACATCACGTACGTGGGACGAGCAAGAACCACATCAACACGCACAACGTTTCTATAATATGTTACAAGCTGCAGATGAGTCGTTGTGGGAGGGATGCCAGAGATTTTTAAAGTTACAGGCAGCGACAAGGTTTTTGAATTGGAAGGCGGATTGCAATGTGCCAGAGACAACCTTCAATGGTAACCTTACTATGGTAAAAGAAATGCTACCTGATGGTGAACAACTGGTTGGTAGCTTTTACGAGACAAAGAAGATGTTGAAGGAGCTTGGTCTTCCGAAAGAAAAGATACATGGTTGCAAGAACCATTGCATGTTATTTTATAAGGAATTTGTTGATCATAACAGTTGTGTAATATGTGGGGAGTCTCGTTACAAGACAATCGGCCGAAACAATAATGTGCCTAATTTGGTGTTGATGTATTTGCCAATTACACCCAGATTACAACGGTGGTATTTGTGTAAGAAAATAGCAAAGGAGATGACTTGGCACCATGATCATCAAACCAAGACGGGAAAGATGGTACATCCGAGTGATGGGGAGGCTTGGAAACATTTTGACAGGATGCATCCCGATTTTGCTCAAGAGATTGGGAATGTTCGTTTGGGATTATGTATAGATGGTTTCAATCCCAATAACTCCAACTTAAGTCCATACTCATTATGGCCTGTTTTTCTTACAAACTATAATCTACCACCTTGGATGTGCATCAAGGACCGGAACGTCCACCTGGCTTTGCTGATTCCTGGCAAGAAGAGCCCTGGTCAGAACTTGGATGTGTTTCTTTGGCCCTTGATCGACGAGTTAAAGAAGTTATTCTTTGACGGTGTCGTTACCTATGACGCTCATCGACGAACGAATTTCACAATGAGGGCCGTATTGTTGTGGACGGTTAGTGACTTCCCTACTTATGCCATGTTGTCTGGTTGGAGCACACATGGCAAGTTAGCTTGCCCATATTGTATGGGTAATGCATGTGCATTCCAGTTGCAAAGCGGAGGGAAGTCGTGTTGGTTTGACTGTCACCGCAAGTTTCTGCCAATCAGACACTCGTTCAGGCATGATAGGAACCAATTTCGTGTTGGACATGTCGAAAAAGCTGGTCCACCTCCTCTTCTAACTGGGGAACAATTATGGACAGAAGTTTGTAGCCTTCCTACGGTCTATGATGGAGTCTCACACGGTTCAAGGCAATATAGGAAACCTGTGGTGAAAACAAAGCCAAGAGAGGTCTATGACTTAGCATCGAGTACCCCTGAAGTCCGGTCGGATGATAAAAATATAGACGATGAACAGTTTTTTCAAGAAAATGAACGAATAACCCGACATGAGGGAAACGAAGATGTTCAAGAACCAATCCAGCTTGTCACAGGGGAAGACGACATCGAAGTTGCCAACGATCGTCGCGACAACTGGCATGTTGATGAGAGTAGTGAYGAAGAAGAGGAGTTCCAATACYHGGATAGTGACTCTGAGGACGAAGAACTTGACTTGTCTGATCACTCATCAGATGATTAGGCTTTATTTGTAAATTTTAGTCTTAGTAAACTTTGTGTAGTTGTTTTAAAATTTTATTATTTCCATTTTTAAATCTTAATTAGTAAACAATTGTTAGACATTTTCAATTGTGTGAAATATTTACTGTATACTTGAATTATTGTTGTATGTTTTCTAATGTTGCTTTGTAAAAAATTGATAATGCCGCGTACTCGGATTACCGGTCAAACTAGTGGAGGTACACCTACCCACGGTACGGGTAGAGGCTCTAGTACCGCTTCGGCACACCCGGAGGAGATTAAGTCTGGTCATGGTAGTGCTGCTCCGGAGCCGCTTCCACAATAGCGGACAATTATTGGCATCCGCGCAAAGAGTAAATACATTTACATCTTTTAATTGATAAAAATATATTATTTGTATTGATGCTAATTCAATTCGTAATTATATAGTTTCAATGACACCAAAGTAATCCGTCGGATCACCAAGATCAACCGAGAGCTACTTGACGGCCCATAGACCAGTTGGGAAAAAATCCCAAAGAACGTGAGACGCCGAATGTGGGAGCGGTTCCAGGTTTGTGTTATATATTCAACTTATTATATTTTATGTATTTTTTTGAACCTAATAATCGGCTAAACTTTTACGTACAGGGCTATTATACTTGGGATCCAGCTTTGGACGCCCAGATCCTTGAGATATGGGAGAGAAAGTCGGCCAAGTCGTATAATGATAACATGAGTGCTGCGAGGAATAAAGTTGGGGAAAAAACAAAGATAAATGGGTATCCTCAGTACGATGAAACGGACCCCAACTGAGATATGAGTGTGTTGAAGAATTTCCCCCTCAGCTGGATATCTTCAGATGTGTGGGTCCAGATGGTCAATCGTTGGAACAGTGATAATTGGAAGGCTGTTTCCAGTGTGGCGCGTGAGAACCGTGATAGCCAAGTTGCGCTACACACCGGTGGATCGATACCATTTTCGGAGCATGGTGCTCGTCTGGTAGAACCTAAAACCAATTAATTTAGTAGTTTGATTTTTAATATGTTATAATTAACACATGTTTGTATTATTTGACCTTTGTAGACACGAGCAAAAGATGACGTGCCCCCAACCGTTGTGGAATTGTTTGATTACACACACAAGAAGAGGTCGAGTGGAGATGCTGCATCTACGGATTCGGGGGGGGGGGGGGTACGTGACCACAAAATGTAGCCAAGTTATGGTTAGTATATCTATCTATTATAATTGGGTTGCCATTTGTTGGCAAATATTATAATTTGTTAAGTTAGAAATTACGTATATATATACGTATATATATATATATCATTATTTAGTTTGGGTTATCATTTGTTGGGCAAACATTATGATTGTTTAAGTTAGATTTTAAGTATATATCATTATTTAGTTTGGGTTGCCATTTGTTGGGCAAACGTTAGGATTGTTTAAGTTAGAAATTACGTATATGTCATTATTTAGTTTGAGTTGCCATTTATTGGGCAAACGTTATGATTGTTTTGGAAACGTCCCATTTACAGCCGTTATGCTGTCAGAATTGACTTGCAATCTTTTTTAAACTATATATAGGATGAGTATTCAACTGGTATCAGCCAAAGATACGGCGATGATCCCTCCACCTATCCTTAGTTGATAAAGAGTTGTGGGAGCAAGCGGTTGGGGGAAGCAAGAAAGGCCGTTAATTTGGATTTGGGTACAACCAAGATCCCAATTGTGTCTTGACCGGGAACTACACGGAAGGTGGTTCATCGTCTTCAGATAAGCACGTATGTGTCTCTTTTTCTTTGATGATGTTTATCGACATAGTTTATAATTCATGTTAAATATTATAACGTTTAATTTATTTTATAGGGAATTCAAACCTTAAAGACCCAACTTAGAGACTCACAGGAACAAAGTCAGCGCCAACGGATGGCGGAGGAGGAGCGATGGCGGGAGGCGAAGGAGCGACGTTTGGCGGAGGAGGAGTGACAGCGGGTGGAGGCGGAGCGACGACGACAGAGGGAGGAGCAACATGATAGACAACTTTAAGATATGGCTGCTTTGGTTAGACAGCTCAGTCAATCTCAACATTTCCCCCCGCCACCACCATATTGAATATTGTCTTTTGCTTTGAAACAATTTAGTTTTGTTTATAACAACTTAGTTTTTGTTTGGTTGAAATAATTGTAGTTTCACTTTAATGTATGATATTTAGTTCTATTTCGCCTTTTTATTTTCATTTTTAATATTGTACAGATTTACAGATTTTAAATACAGGTTTTAAATATTAATTTTAAAATAAATTTAAAATATTAATATTTATATATTTTTTCCGGCGGATTTCCGGCGGATTTATCTGCCGGTAATGTTTGTAATATAAAAATATTTTAAAAAAAATTAAAAAATTAATATTTATATATTTTTTCCGGTGGAAATATCCGCCGGTATTTTTTAAAATTAAAGATATATTCTTTTAGAAAAGATTATCGAGAAACATTTCCGGCGGAATATTCCGCCGGTAAATTTAAAAAAAAAATACTTAACTGTTTGTTAATTTAATCAAGATTTTATAAATAAACCGATGAGGAATTTCCGGCGGCCGTGATCCGCCGGAAACGGGGAAAATCTGCCGGTTTTTCCGCCGTAAAAACAATCACCGGCGCCACTTTTTCCGGCGACCATATCTGCCGGAAATCCGCCGGAAATAGTGATTTCCGGCGGATATGGCCGCCGGAAAAAGTGGGTTTTTTGGTAGTGTTATATTTTTTACTTTTTTATTTTGTATATTTATTGTAAAAAATACGTTTAAAAAAATTACATCATTATAATTCTCTAGTCAATACCTTCAAAATGACTGTCAATACCTCCAAAATGAGCCTAATATTGAATACTTTTGGATTTAATCATATTATTAAATATCATGCAGATGTATTTTTTAGGAATTATTAGTACTACTTACACTTTATATCATTATAGTTATTTACTTTAATTTTTTTATCTCTTACTTTTTCATTCTTCATCTTGTTAATATTAATTGTTATATATGAACTAAAATACATTAAAAATACGTGTTGTTTACAAAATACATCATTATATTCATCTTGCCAATACCATTATAATGAATTCAATATTGAATATTGTAAGACTCTTAAAAATTTGGAAATAGCGATTGTAGGTTTTTACGAAACAAAAGAATGGTTTACGCCGGTTAAATACAAGGAAAACAATCAAGTTTAATGTTAACAACCTCCTAATCTAATTCATACAAGAAATAGATTATGATCATGTGTCACTAAACTTCCAAAATGTTGTTATCTCCAACTAAGGTGTCCCAAAAATGCCACGTGCCTCTAATCAACACCCAACCAGCCTACTCGATTGACCCCGACACTAGAACCTGAGATACATGATACCAAGAACAAGTGTGAGGCTAACGAGCCTAGTGAGTTCAAATGTTAATACAGTCAACAAATTATATACGCATAATTACACGTTAATGTATGCTCCAAGCATGGTTCTCCAATAGCTTATGTACTCCAATAGGGTTTCGCCACCAAACCCCAATAACCAAGAATAAGCGTACTTTCAATCTCATGCATACGGGGGAGACCCATCCCCATTGATCATGACAGAAAAAATAATAGACCATGATAGTTCCTATATACTGATTATGACAAGATATCAATTAATAGAAAGATAGAATTGAGTAGGAAATCATCATGTCATTGATTATGGAACTGTTGTAAGAATATAAAAATTATTATAGAATGAATCTTGAGAGTATTTATACAAAATGAATCTATCCATATAAAGTTGTTAAGATCATTAAAACAAATCTAACAGACTTCTATTTATACAAGAATAACTAGGCTAAAGATACAATACATTACAGAACAAACAAATGAACATATAACACGTGGCTTAGTATCTTGACTTAATCTTCAAACATGAGAAGTAATTATGCACATATTGGCTAAATGTTTAACTATAGATAGTGTATCCACAGTTAGTCTTCGAACTCTGTACACAAGCTAGCCGGACTCTAAAGACTTTATACCCGAACTCTGAAGGCATTATCACTTATACTTTTTCTCCATTTCCGAACTCTGGAAACACTAATTTAGACTTGATGTTGAACTCTGGAACCATCCATTCAGAGTTATGTCTGAACTCTAAATTAACTCTAATTACAAGTCTTCAGACTTTCAACACTTAGAAAGTTCTTCACAATTTGAACCAACGTCATATTTTCACAATCTCCTCTTTTGGTTCAAATTTTTTTGTATATGTCAAAACCATATTCCTTCAGAGTTTTCACAAACCTTAGCAAGATCAGATTCCTAAAATTCAATTAGGTTTGAAGTAAGTGAACCATCTTCTCAATGAGCTTAATGTTTTGATTTCTTTTATCCTTCTCTTTCTCAAATTTTTTTTAATCTATCTTAAAGCTTCTGATGAATACTTTACAACTTTAGAAACTTTGAAATACAATCTTTCTCCTTTATGTGTATTGAAAAAGAATCCAGCTTCTAAATGCTCTATCATAGATCCACTTTTGAAATTTTGAATTTTTTCTAAAATGTATTGGGAGCAGACAAGAAGAATGTGTCTTTATTCAATTCAAGAGAAACTTGCAAATCTACCAACGCTGCCCACTTGGTTGCCTTCAACATTCCATGTCTGAGAGCAGAAGTTGCTTTTCTGAATCTATAAATTTTTTCTTCATATGGTACCAACAAAAGATGCATCCCCTAAATATATTCTAGATGAATGCTCTTAAAATCTGCTTCTGTAATGGTATGGGAGCTTCCATATTCCTTTTTTTTTACCTCAAACACCATGTAATCAAATTTTTTGAATTACTTCAACTTCACATCTTCAACTTTTGTGATTCTCAGATCTAAATAAACATATCTCTAAAAATTCCCAATAGTTGTTATTGAAACTTCCCGTCTTGCATTCAAAAGTATCCATGTAAGAAATTGCTTTGAAACTTTTAGCAGTCATAGAAAGATGCCTAAA